GTTTGACTCATATCTAGGGAAAGGGGAAAAAATTGTCTTATTAGACTTTGAGTACTGTGAACTACATGACTCCCCTAGTCACAGTTTAACTGCCAACAAATGACTAAGAAAGATCATGCAAATATGAGGTGCCTGTGTTCCACCAACAGGATTACTGGATAGCTTAATAAAGTACATGACACAGTGTATGAAACCCTAACAGGGAGACTGGTCATTTGCAATCCCAAGTATGGAAAGGAAATGTGTCTTTTAGATTTGAGATCTCTATGCTAAAATCTCTTCAATCCAAGAGAAAAAGAGCAGTGTCATTGGAGATAGTGAGAAGTAAAAGCATAAAGAACAGAACCAAGAGTCTAGCATAATACAGAGTAGTGGGCTTCCTGGTCCAGAGAGCAAGGAAACTGAATGCCTTTGGGCAGGAGTCTTGTTGGCAGAATGAGGTATGCTGGGGGTACTTATCAGCAGTGCTAAAAGAGCTTAAATGAAAGCAGAGAGTACCAGATGAATGCCTATCTGTGTTTCATTAACTATGCAAAGGCATTTAACTGTGTGGATCATACTAAACTGTGGAATGGAGATCTCAGAACACTTGATTGTCCTCAAGGGAAACCTATACTTGGACCAGAAGACAATCCTAATAACAGAGCAAGAAAACACAACAAGGTTCAAAATCAGAAAAGGTGTACACCAGGAATACATCCTATCTCCATACCTTTTCAATCTATATGTGAAACAGATAATCTGGGAGGCTGATCTCTGTATAAGGAGGAATGTGTCATCAGGATGGGAGAAGACAACAACTTGTGTTATGCAAATGACACAACCTTCCCTGCCAAACTCAGGAGTACCTGAGGCATTTGCTGCAGAATATCAAGGACTGGAGCCTTCAATATGGACTGAAGTTCAACATCAAGAAAACAAGATTCTCCCCACTGGGCCAATTGGCAGCTGGATGGTGAAGACATTTAAATTGTTAACAGCTTCAGTTTATATGGCTCAACAATCAACAATCTTGGTACCAGCAGCCAGGAAATAGAAAGAAAAATTCCATTTGGAAAATCTGCTGTAAGGGACTTCTTCAGAGTACTGAAGAGCAATGATGTCAGTCTAGAGACTAAGGTGCTGCTGGTCCAGGCCAGGATCTTTTGCAATTACTTGCTATGCATCAGAAAGCTGGACAATGACTAAGGATGACAGTAGAAGAATTGAGGTGTGCTAGAGAAAACTACTGAATCTATCATGTATTAGGAGAACAAACAGATTGCTCCTGGAGAGGGTGAAACCAGGCTGCTCCTTGGAGCAAACTATTATAATGGAATGTACAGAGTACTGGGCCAATAGGCAACATTATGCTAGAAGGAGAAATGACTGAAGTTGTCAATGATTTAATCTTGATTGGGTTAACAATCAAAACCCTTGGTATCAGCAGTCAGGAGATGTACTGCATTGGGAAAGTGTGCTGGGCTCTACCTCTAATACTATACATCTCAACATCAAGACAACAATAACAGTTTGCTTTGTTTTCTCAAGATGCCCTTTGAAATCTTTTGTTCAGCTCTTGTTTTCCCTTTGTTTTGGCTTTTTGACACGCTAGTGCAATTTTTAAGAGTCTCTTCTGACATCCATTTTAATTTTTCTTTCTCCTCCGTCTTTGTAATGACCTTTTGATTTCTTTATGGATGTGTGCTGTAAGGGAATGTTTCCAAAATACTGAAAAGTAATTATGTTAGTCTGATGACCAAAGTGCACCTGATTCTGGCCAAGGTCTTTTCAATCACTTGCTATTCATCTGAGAGCTGAACAATGAATAAGGGTGACAGAAAAAAAATAGAAGCCTGAGTTGTGTTGGAGAAGAGTACTGATTATCCCATGAATGGACTACCAAAAGAAGAAATAGATATGCATGTCTTAGAAAAGTGCACCCAGAGTGCTCCTTGGAGCCAAAGATGACAAAGCTTTGTTTCATATACTTTGAACATGCTAGGGAGACTACTGCTTAGAAAGGGACATGCTTGAGATTACTGTACCACAGAGACTGCAGCAGTGGGTAATGAGTGCCAGAGATGACAAGGATGGCAAATGATAGGAGAGAGTTTAGGTCTGTTGTTCATAGGTTTGCTAATAGTAATATTTTCTAGCACCTAACAACAACAACAACAATAGCAACAATAACAACACAACCAATAAGAGTATGTCCTGGAGCAGTAAGAGTATTCAGACCAACAGTTACTAAGTCCCAGCGGCATATGTGCTTACAAACAGGTTTTTGGTTCCCCCCCTCCCTTTTATTGGGAAAAACATATTGGGAGTACAAGGAGGTGAGGGTTGGGGGCAGAAGGGTGAGGATGGGCCAGGTTGCAGTTGCAGAGCTGCAGTTTGGTCAGTGGGGGGAGCAGGTGAAGGAAATGATGAGGGTCCAGTGGGGACCAGATGCTACAGAGGAATGACAAGCATTTTCCAATTGTAATTAAACCAACTGTCTTATTGATTTGGGAATTGGATGCCGACTCTCTGGCTTCTTCATGCTGAACAGGGGCGTAGATGTAAAGGGGGTAAGGGAGGGTGGTCTTGGGTTAAAGCTGCTTGCCTTCTTGCTCTGTTAGAAGATATTTTCCTGTCATTTGCTCCCCTCTGGACTGCAAAGTGTTTTCCCAGTTGGGTCCAGTGGGGATAGCTGGTTGAACACAGTTTTTTGAGGCGTATGCTCTTAACCTTATAATTTGATTCTTTAAACCCCATTGTTGAATGTAAAATAGTAGGATCAAATGTTTGAAAAGTAACAGATAAACATTTTATTTCATGAAAATGTCATGTCAAGAGGCTATTATGTTAGGTCTCATCATTTTTATTTCAATTCTCAATTATCCCACGTAATACAGAAGTGTCCCAAGGTTTGTTTGGGTTTTTTTTAAATAGTCAGCATCTCATTTTACTTAACCATCTGAAAAAACCTGGGTTGGGTTTTTATCCTCTCTTCTGTTTAAGTCTTGCAAAATGAGTGGGAAGTAAAAGACAGATTTGCTGATCATTCTCTCAGTATGTGTGATTATATGTCTCCATAGGGACATGTATATCTATATCTATAGGTGTGTATGCTTTATAGCCACTACAGCTTCATTTTAATGAATATGTATATATAAAGCCCTACTATTTAAACAATTCCAAAACCTGAATTAAATATCCTCGAACCTAACAGTCTCTTTTCTTAAGCTTGCCTGCCTCTCGTCCTCTCTCCCTTAAGGCTGTTTGTTCCTTGGGCTCCAGCATTCATACCATACATGAGCCAAGAATTGAGATTAGTCCCTTGATGTCCTGCCTCTGGCCAGTTCATAACTCCGAAGGCCTAGCTAGGGAACTTCTCTAGGGAGGTATGTGCAGATGAGTCCTGGTGTTTCTCTTCAGAGTTGTTCAACCTGACTTGTAGGTAGATACCTCTTCTTGAGGCTCAGGTGTTGGGATGCTGCTCCCTGCTGCAACCTCAGAGATTTGAAGCTGAACACTCTGGGTTTTTGGGGAGTCAGCTGGGGTAACCTCACTGTTAACTTCCTCGTCTTCCATCTTCACTGGCTCACTAGGCTCCGAAAAATCTTGAGAGATTCTAACTCACAGCAATCCTTCAGAGCAGAGCAGAACAGCCCCATAGGGTTTTCAAGGCACAATTGTTCCATGGAGAAGCTGATCTTTCTTTAGGTTAGCATTTACCCAGTGAGCCAACAGGGTTCCTGCCATAACCAGATAGTCATAGTCAAAAGTTTTCCAAAACACTGGTAACTCAAGCAATTTCTGTCTACCTTGTTATTTGGTTACCCCTTACATCCTATCTAAAATTCTGTGATCTTAAATTATACAGAAAGGGCTAAGTAAAAATACTTAACTACTGGTTCTTTAAGTCAAGTGACATTAGTTCTCCCCCAGAACCTTTCTGGGAGAAAAGATATTTGCTTTCTCCGCCCCCACCTTAGAAAGTAGTATTTTAGTATCTATACAGGATTACTGTGTTCTTTTTCACTGCCAAATAAAATTAACTAATTTATACATCGGAAGGACTTAATACCAATCTGTTGGACAAAACAACAGAACTTGGGAACTCCCGAGCAGATTTAAAAATTATTTTTGGAGTAAAAAAATAATGAAGTTCAAACACTACTTTTCATATATATGTATATATGAATCCTAAAAAACCCACAAAACCAAATTCCTAGTGAAAGAAAAAAAACAAAAAACACAACCAACCCCAATACAAACCCCAAAATAAAAACAAATCCAAAACCCCCACACCAAAACACACAACACAGAAAGCTGTTAAAATTAATGTATTAATATTGATTATCATATTTACTTTCTTAGCTATCTGCATTTCTCTTACTAAGGAAAATTGGAAAGTATTTCCAATCTTACTGACACCTACTTCGTTGAGAAAGGTCTGTTTCTGTGAATGCAATTTCTAAATTTAGTCAAGTGTAGAATTTCTAGACAATCAAACTATTTGTATAATTTATTCTGCCATATTTAACTCCTTAAAAATAGAAAAAAGCCTCTCCTTGAGCTTTAACGACACACAAACATTGAGGACTCTCCTTCATAAGGTTGCTATGAGTTGCCCGTGACTCGAAGGCACTTAACAACAATAACATCAAGATAGAGAGAAATCCCTTGGCCCAGTGGACAGAAAGCGATGTTACCAAGCCAAAGGTGGGTGACTTTTAATCTGTGGCCTGCGGGCCTGTCTTTTATTGTGATTTTTGTTTTTTATTTTTCAAAGACAGAAAAGGATAGAACTTTATTAAATTTATAGAAAGTACTTTTTTTTTTAAAATGTCAATGAACATCCACAGAGATTTTGGAATTCCATTCATTTATTTTATTGTTGCACTTTTCTCCCAGCTCCCCCCCACCCCACTTCACTCCTCTCCTTGAAAAGCGAAAACTCCTTCATTGGTACACAATTCCCCCCACCCCGCACACCCCCCAAACCCACCCCCACCCCAAATATAATCCACTCTGCGACCCTCATTCCGTACTCTTATGATAAACATAATGCCCTAAAATAGAATACTTTTAAACTATTCTCTCCCTCATAGACTTCAGTGCAGTAAACATAATTTATCCAGTTTTTCTCAGTCTTATTATTTTTGTTCAAACATTCCTCTACGTCGTATAGCCTGGTGTGTCCACTTGCCTTAAAGCAGTAACTTGTGGTTGCTGTGAGGCTGAACACTGTGACACTGATGTGTCAAATGCATCAACGGGTGGCTACCCAATGTGGACAGAGAGTGGGGTGGAGCTCCCAGATTAAAACAAACTTGGAAGGAGGAGTGGCATCCACTTCTATAATAGCTTGCCTCCGAAAACCCTATGAACCTGGAGAAAGGATGAAAGACACAGGCATTGAGGACTCTCCTTCATAGGATCGCTCTGAGTCGCCTGCAACTCGACGGCACTTAACAAAAACAAGAAGTCACTGAAACAGTGGTCGATATGCAATTTAAGGTCGTATTTTCCTGGCTTGATTACTATTACACTGCAATTATATTCCCCAAAGCATGTACTATATTGTAACAATTTATCAGTATTTTGACAAATGCAGAAGAATCAGTTTCTTAATATATTTCTCAGCTGAAGTTTGATTCACATTAAGAGATTCACCTTCTTCCTCCAAAAAATGAAGAGACAAAAAAGGTTTCAAAAGTGGGAAAGAATAAATAATGTGAGTTCAATATTATTTTAACTGCTTCTATGGGTCTTGGCTGAAAGCACCACATCCTTTCAATCTGTATGTGGAACAGATAATTCAGAAGGCTGGGTTCTAGGAGGAGGAGTGTTGGGATCAGGATTGGAGGAGACTTATTAAAAACCTGAGTTGTGCTGATGACACAACCTTACTTGCTGAAACGGAAGAGAATCTGAAGCACTTGCTACAGAAAGTCAAGGAATGCAGCCTTCAATATGGATTGAAGCTCAACATCAAGAAAAAACAAAGATCATTACCACTGGGCCAATTGGCAGCTTCATGACAGAGATAAAGAGATTGAGATTGTTAACAGCTTTAGTCTGCTTGGTTCCACCATCAACACTCTTGGTACCAGCAGCTAAGAAATCAAAAGATGAATTGCACTGGATAAGCCTGATGTCAGGGACATATCCAGAGTACTGAAGAGCAATGATGTCAGTCAGGAGATTAAGATGCGCCTAATCTAGGCCATGGTCTTCATAATTTCTTGCTATTCATCAGGAAACTGGACAATGACTAAGGATGCTGATGCCTCTGAGCTGTGGTGCTGGAGAAGGGTCTGGATCATACATACCATGGACTGCTAAAAGAACAAAGAGGTCCGTCCTGGAGAGGGTATAACCAGCTTGCTCCTTGGAGGAAAGGATTCCGAAGCTCTGTCTGACATACTATGGACCTGCTGCAAGGAGGAACCAGTGCTTGGAGAGTGGAGGGACAGTGCAAGAGAAGAAGACTCTTGATGAGATGGATTGTGTGGGAGACAGCAAGGTTGGCTCAGGATAGAGCAAGATTCCGAGCTGCTGTACACAGGATTGCTATGAGTCGCAGGCTACTTGACAGCACATAACAACATTAACACTCTACAAGTAAGGAGACTCTCTCTACAACTATTCCCAGATCCCTACTGGTCATAACCTAAAAGATAAACTATCATTTCCATCTTCCTCGCCACAAATCTAAGATGTAAACTTTATAGGCACACATAGACCTAAAAGATTTTCTGTGTCCTGTAAATACAATTTAAGTAACTTGTGAAATTTAAGTATGTTAAATTTAATGAATTCTAAAATTTAACAAATTAACTTTAATATGTTACATATCTCAACATATAAATAAGGTCCTGTTGTGTACCACTGTATTGGAACTGACTGACCCATAACAGTCCTTCCACTAGGTTTTCAGAGGCAGTAGACTAGGATGAGTACGCCTATCTTTCTCCTGAAGAGCAGAGATGGTGGATCTCTGAACCTCTGAGTTGGCAGAGTAATTTCTTACCACGAAGCCAAATAAGGCATTGTTGTTGTTAGGTGCTGTCCAGTATGACTCATAGTGACGCTACAAACAGGCAACCTGAAACCTACCCTTATCCTTACCCTACTATCTCCTTCATCGCTGATACTAATTATTTCCAAGAATGATGTCCCTTTTCAAGGAATAGCCTTGCCTAGTTATATGTCCAAAGTATGAAAGACAAAACTTCACCATCTTTGCCTCTAAGGAGCACTCTGGATACAACTTTTCCAAGACATGTCTGTTCTTTTGGTAGTCCACAGGATATTCAGTTAATATAAGGCCTAAGATAGCTATGGTTTAAATTGTGAGAAAGTAAGAGTATAGGCTTTGGTTCAATTCTAGTTCTAATGTATTTAGCTGAGGGAGCTCTGGTAACCTAGTGAGTAAAGAATTGCACTCAAAACCAAAAAATTGGGTGGACTGAATTTCTCTAAAGGAGAAAGATGGGCAGTCTCCCTCAGTGTGATTTACAGCCTCTGAAAACCCACTGAAAGTTCAACTATAAGTGGGTTCTGACTCAAGGAAAAGGAGGGAGTGACTGGTATTTTTAGCTGAGTGATCATGACCATGCTATCTCTAGACCTTATTTTTTTTAATTTGAAAATCGAATAACAGTATTTCCCTTTAGAGAATTTTAAAATGTCAAATGAAAACACTTCCCTATGAAAAAAGTAGCAAATAGTAAACAGTCAACAGATGTTTTTTGCTATTTTTTCCATCCCATCTAGTTAGCAAGCTATTTACAATGCTTAAAATGTGAGGCATTAATTGATTTCAAAGAAGTACTACTGTAACAGGAAAATGGTATACCTGGGAATTACTGGTTTTTCTCTCATCCTACCTCCAAACAAAAGCTATCCTTGGTACTTCCGGAATCAATAACTTACATTATGCAGTTGACACAACCTTAATTGCTGAAAGAGCAGGACCTGAAATGTTTGCTACAAAAGGTCAAGGACAGAAGTCTCCAATATGGTCTGAAGTTCAACATCAAGAAAACAAAGATTCTCACTACTGGCCCAACTGGTAGCATCATGATAGATGGAGAAGATATTGAGATTTTTTAAATTTTTTAAGCAACATATTGTTTTATTATTAATTTTAGTGAAAATTTACAGAGATTTTGGATTTCCATTGAAACTGTTAACAATTTCAGCTAACTCAGTTCCACAATTCACACCCTTGGCACCTGCATTAAGAAATAAAAAGACGAATGGGGAAAAATCTGATGTCAGGGACCTCTCCAGAGTGATAAACAGCAATGTCAGTCTAAAGACTAAGCTATGAGTTCTTTTTATTCTCCAATCCCAGCATTATAAGTTTGCTTTGTTTTCTCAAGATGCCCTTTGAAATATTCTGTTCAGCTCGTTTTCCCTTTGTTTTGGTTTCTTGACACTGTAGTGCAAATTTTTTTTTTTTTAGTGCAATTTTTAGAGTCTCTTCTGATGTCAATTTTAATTTTTCTTTCTTTAATTCGACCTTCTGATTTCTTTATGGATGATATCTTTGATATCACCTCACAATTCTTAGGGTCTTATGACTGGTGTTCAATGCTTCAAACCTATTTTTAAGATGATCTTGAAATTCAGATGGAATAGATTCAAGATTATACTTTGGTTCTCGTGGACTTAGGTACATGTGTAAAGTTGCTGTTTGTGTCTTTTTAAAAAGGGCATTTTAAAGGAATAAATCACTGAATGTATGCTGTTGTTGTTGTTATGTGCCGTCGAGTCGCCTGTGACTCATAGCGACCCTATGTACAACAGCCCTAAACTCCGCTCTGTCCTGTGCCAATCGCACTGTCTCTGACACTCC